TAAATAACTTAGAGTGTGCAAATTCCTCTTTGCACATTCCTTCTTATGTTTCTAAGATATATTCCTATTTTGGGGAGCTAAGGTTTATTTTTCACTGTTGTAGGATATGTTGTTGAAACCAGCCAACCAGCCTTGCTGACTGAGAATTTTCATGAAAAGTAAAAAAAAAAAAAAAAAGAGGCTTTGAGTATTCCTCTGCAGTTTTACAACAGATGAAGTATATACTAATCATCCTAGATGAGTATGTACAATATGAAAAAGAGATGCTTCTCATCATAAATACATATATTTGCATTCTGATGTCTTCTGAGCAGAAGAAAATCTCACATGGCTGGTCCAGAGCAGCTCTCCTATACTTGATAGTGAAAGGCAGGATTCAAGAGCCTGATACCACAATCGATAACAAAATCTGAGCCTTTTCCAAAAGGTTAACTGTTCCCTAATGATTTTAATCAATTACTCAGGCTCTGTTGGTCACCTTGTAAATACATTTGTTGTATAATATTTGGCATATGCAAAACAATGCAGTAAAACATCAATAAAATATATACCAATGGTTCTACCTCACAGTTTAAAAAAGCATATTGCCATTTATTGCTTGTAACATGTACTTCTCTGATCCTGCCTCTCTGCAGGAGGTAGCCAGTATCCTGTAAGCTGTGGTCATTATTTCCTTTCAGCTTTTTGTTGATCATTTTAGCATACGTGCATATGTAACCATGTGGTTTTATTTGTTTTGAGTTGTATTAAAATATTATATTATTTGTAGAATTTGGGGGAATTGCTTTTCCAATATATTACTTTTTTGAGACATAATCATGTTTTCTATGTAGTTGAAGTGTATTTTTACCTCTATATGAAGCATCGTATTGTGACTTTTATTTTCTATTATATTAAAAACATTTAAATTAGTTGAGATATTTTCACATTACAAAAATGTTTCTATAAGAATTCTTGAACTTCTCAACACCTGGGCAACACTTACTCCAGGTTATATATGCAGGAGTGGGATTGCCTGGATATGGGGTATGTCTATATTCATCTTTATGAGGTATAGCAAAAATCTATTTCAAAATAGATGTTGCCATTTTATTGTTCCACCATGATCTATAAGATTTTGTAATTCCTTAAGGTTTTGGACAGAGAAATTACCTTAAAAAATGGCATTTGGGGAACAGATAATGGATATTTATATTCAAGCTGGACTTGAAGGAGTAGAGATTTAAATTTGGAAATTCAGTAAGGAGGCTATTAAAATAATGAAGTAGGAGTCAGGATCCCATTGTAGAGAGTAAGCAATGGGCATGGTCAATCAAATTATTTTAGTCATTGTATTTGTTTATTAAAAAGGTTAGAGTGTTAGAAATGACTCCAACATCTTTAACCTGAGATAAAATAATTTATTCAAATACAGTAGACTGTGTTCTTGGGTTTCACATCTGAGGATTCAACCAGTTTGGATTCAAATGTTCTGAGGGAAAAAAAACAAAACAAAACTGTGCTGAACCTGGGAAGACTTTTTGCTTATCCCTAAACAAGATAGTATAATGATTATTTACAGAGTTTACCTTGAATTAGTTATTATAAAGTAGTGTAGAGACAAGTTTAAAGTACCACAGGAGAACTGCATAGGTTATATGCAGACACTATACCATTTTATATAAAGATTTGAAAATCCTAAGATTTTAGAATCTCCTCTACAGGAAGTCCTGGGACCAATCTCTGAGGATACTGAGCGTTGACTGTAACAAAAATGCATTGAGAACTGTGTCAAGTGCTATGTAAAGCAATGGGAATATAGAATCAGAGACCTCTCTTCAAGACTCCCCATGTAAAGGAGAAACCACCAAGTTACTGACAGCTACCGTGCAGTATCCTTAGCATGGCAATGGGAGTTAGCAGCAGGGTGACCAGAAGGGCAGAGAAGGGGCACCTAAGCCAGGCAGTTGGAGGGGAGGGGTAGAAGAGAGATCCCAGCTTTGGGAAGCCTCAGTTATCAGGAGAAAAAGTAGAAGGGCCTTTTAAGACAAAAGACATAAATTGTGGAAGGCCAGGATGAGCAAGGAGCCTGCTGCATGTGAGAAACTGTTTACTTCTTTGTGGCCAGTGCCTAGACATGGTGCAGAGAATGTTCAAAGAAAGTTTGAGTAGTATACAGGAGCTGGATCATATCTTGCTCTGGAGCCTGGACTTAAAGACAGTGGGAAGCAGTCAGAGTTCTCTCTCTTTCCCTACTCTCACCTGTTTTTCACCCCTTGCTTTTCAAACGTCTCCCATCAGCTTACACACTGTTATATCATCTAGTTTCTACTACTGAAGAAATCATATGAAAATCCTTCCTAGTTGAAGTTGAAAATGAAGCTCTTCATTTTCTAAGGGCTTGAAGCAATAGTACAGTGTATCCTGGCCTTACTTCACCTCCCTGTCTAGCTTCCATCTCACTTCGCACACTAAACCACTTTCTGTGTGCTCTGTGATCCTGCTTCACTGCTTCTTGAATGACCATGTAGTTCATCATCCAAACTGGGCCTCTTTATGAGAGTGAAAGGTGGTGCTACTAATAGTTATTCTGGGAAACAATGATAAATCAGGATTGTCCCTGGGCAAACTGGGATATATGTTCACCCTAGATTTATCCAGAGTGCTTCATCTTGTCTTTTTTTTTTCTGCTTGTATCCTATAAACAATTTGTCAAGCTGTGTCTTAATGGCAAGATTTTGTGCATTTCTTCAGTAGGACAAGCTTAGCTGCTTAGATTTTTCTGTATGTTTTGGATTTTCTGTATATCTTAATCTGATGTCTTCTAAGATATCCAAGATCATCTGAAACTTATTCTTGGGTATCAGAACAGAAACCTGAGGTAGTAAGGATGGTGGTTGTTGATTGGGGAAGGCAAATTCTCTCACAAAAGTGGGCAATGATTTAAAACTTATAGGTCCCAATGTCTCTACTTGTTACTTAAATACCTTCTAACATAACATTTTGAAGTAAGGATTACATCCATCTGGAGGCTCAAAGAGATTAAAGAATTCTCCTGAGTCCCTGTATTAGTAAGGGTTCTCTAAAGGAACAGAATCCGCAGGAAGGATAATTATAAAAAGGGGACTTATTAGGTTGGCTTATGTGACCAGAAGCTGGATAGTCCAAAATGGCCATCTGCAGGCTGGAGAGCTGGAAGAGCCAATAGCTGTGCAGTCCAAGAGGCTGAAGCCCCAGAACAAGAGGGGTCAATGGTGCTACCTAGTATGAGACCAAAGGCTTCTGGAGAATCACTGGCAGTGTCCACTTTGGAAGAGTAAAGAAGTGAGAGTCTGACATCCTCAGACGATTGCAGCAGCAATCAAGAACTTGTTCTAGAACCAACCTTCCATCTGCTGCTGCCTTTTATTCCAACCAAGCCATCATCTTATTGGTCTGTGCTGCCTATGCTTCAGGAGGATCTCTATTTCAATTAGCTATTCCACATCCCAATCATTCCTAGACACACAGCCCTATGTTCACAGAGAAAAGAAATTGGGGGATAATTCAAATGCAGGATGTGTGTTCAGTTATGCTGGAAGACTGGGAGTGTTCAATTGGCCATCATTATCCTAAAATTCTCTTCCTCTCTCTCCCACCCCCACCCCCAAACAGTCTTCTGCCTCCTTATTCATTCAACACCAAACTCTTAGAGTTGCATTCTCTGTGGCCTGTCACCACCAACTCACCAAATATGCCAAGACAGGACTGAATTCCAACATTGTAAGCTGAAACTCCATTAATTGCTACAAATGGACACAACCGACCCCCAAACTAGAGACCACAAAACCAAAGAATATGAGAAAAGAACTTCCCAGACCTAATCAGGAGTACAGACAGGTGTTCATCATGGTGAAAGTAGATTTAATTTATGGTAATTATTCATATCTGGGAGGCCATAGTGTTTGTTTTCTTTTTTCTTTTAACTTTAATTAATATTTGACTGAGCTATCTGCCACTGTGAGGGTGTTGAAGGAGATCTAGAGAAGACCTCTATTTAGACTTTCCAGGTCCTCAACTGTTGCTAAAAGTAATTTAAGGATGATTTAAGTTTTAGCAAAGAGAGGAAAAACTTTATTAGGAAGCAAAAGGCAAGGGTGTGTACTCTTTTATGGGCTGGATTGGGAATGTCCTCTGAATTCATGTGTTGGAAGCATGAGCCCCAACACAGCAAACTTTAGAGGTGGCACTTTTAGGCAATGCTTAGGGCTTTGACCTTATCAGTGGATTAATTCATTTTTTTGATTAATCCATAGATGAATGGACTACTTATTGAGAACTGTAGGCAGAGGGGGCATGGCTGGAGGAAGTAGGCCACTGGGGGCATGCCCTTGTAGACTATATCTTGTCCATGGATGTTGAGAGCCACAGCCGAAGGGGCCCCAGCAAACTTCCAGCTGCCAGCAAATTTCCAGCTGCCAGTTGATGATTGGCTCACAGCGGCCCCAGCAAACTTCTAGCTGCCAACTGATTAGCTCCTCTGCAGTGATGCTCATTGGGCTGTTTCCCCGCCCTTTCAGACCATGGAGCTGCTCATTGGGGGACTTTTTTGGCTCTGCCCACGCGACCCAGCCAATCCTCCTCAAGAGCAGGAGGAGTGGGGGAGGTGGAGAGGCTTGTGGGAAGCCGGTGGTGGCAGTTGGGCTCTGAAGGTTTTTCCTGAGGAGCTGTGTGGTGTGGTGTGTGGTTCTAAAAATAAAGTTCGTTTCTTTTGACAAGTGGCTCCTGAATTGTGCCCAGCCAGACTGTGGCACCTGGATCCCCTCGTTCTCTTTCTTTTTCCTGTCTGCCATGTACTGAGGAGTTTGTCTCCATCACCCTCTTCTTCCCGGATATTCCTGCCTTGGAGCCAGTTGAGCATGAACTGAACCTTTGAAACTGGAGCCAAAATAAACTTTTCTACCACTAAGTTGTTCTTGTGACTAACATACACTCTTAGAGCAGGGTGTGGGCAATCTCAAGAGTGAGACACAACAACAGTGTTAAGGTTGTGTTTTTTATAAGGGCACACAATTTGATGGAATACATATGGTCCAAAGGGCTGGACTTCTCCCCTGGATAAAAAATATTAAGGGAGATTGTATTTTCCCATTAGGGAATCTGTTCTAATATGTAGGTTTCAGCTTATATCAACTTCTCTGGAGGTCTGGTGGTCCATTGGGTAATCAGGAAAGAAGGTCATGTTCTAATCAAACATGCTCCTGGAAAAAAAAAAAAAAACAATAACATGCTCCTGATTCACATTTTTGTTCAGATGTATGTGAGTCTCCAAGCCTCATGAGATTAATGGTTGCTTTCTGTTGAGGGTTGCTCCTGTTTTCCTATATTCCAGAAAAATTTAGGGAATTAGAAAGTTATAAATTAAGTTATGGGCTGTTTAGTATGCTGATACATTTTGGCTCCTTTCTTTCCCTTAGGGTCCTTTGTCTGGTTCATGAGTTGTTTGCATTGTATTTTAACAGGAATATTTTTCCTTTAGAGACTCTGTGTTCTCTCTGTATTCCTAAATTTCTATCTCAGATCTAAGTAATGTTGATAAAGTAGTAAACAAAACAAAAATACTGCCAGTAATTATATTCTTAAGGAAGAATGAAACAATGAACAAGAAATCAAATACATACATAATAATAATTTCAAATAGTGATAAGTATGGTAAAGAAAATAAAGGAGGACCAAGTGATTGAGCAGGTACACGTTTGTCTTGGGTGGTCTGGAAAAGGTGATGTGTGAGAAGAGATCTGAATAACAGGACAGAGTGAGTCTGAAGAGATTGGAATCAGAGACAGGCCTGAGTCAAAAACACACCCAGGTGTTGGAGGAAGAGAAGGAAGGACAGTGCAAGTGTGTAGAAGAGAAGCCTGAAGAAATGACAAGGATAAACAAGGCCCCAAATTTGGAGGATCTTTTGGGCCACATTTAGGGATTTAGAATCTATTCTTAGCATGATAGGAAATCATTGAATTTTCTAAAATGAGCAGGGATAGGAGCAGATTTACCTTTTTTCAATGGTTAATGTGTAAATAATAGGACATGTGGGGCCTACTTGGAGGGGAGGGAGCTTCTTCATAGGCTTTGCTTTAATCCAGGTAGAGATGGATTAGGGTAGGAGTAGTGGAGGAGGTGACATCAGATCAGATCAGGTTTGAGGTATATTTTGCTGGCAAGCGTGTTAGAACATGCTAATTCTTTGTGTGTGAAAATGAGAAAGAATCCAGCAGGAATTTCTAGGAAACCACGTGTTATACCAAAATGGATAGAAAAATATGTTCCATTCCATATGCTTTGCTAGAATCTTGAAAATCCCCCATTAAGGGGTGAGGTCTATATTGCTATGCCCTTGGAGTTGGGTGGGCTTTGGCTACTTCCACGGAGCATGGTAGAAGTGATACACATCACATTTGAGGTTAAGCCATAAAATGTGATACTGGATCTCTGTGTCCTCACAGGGATACTCATCTTTGTAACCCAGCTACTGCACTGAGGAAGCCCAGGTCATGAGGGAAGAAGCAAAGCCCCTAGTCTTCAGCCCCAGAAGCCAGTACTGACTTGATAACCATTTGAGGCTTCTTGGAAGTGTGTCCCCAGATGAATGCCTGGATCTTTATCATCACTAGACTTATTCAAGTCCTTAATTTTGTCTACACTGGTGTCTTGAACTATGAGCAAGAGCCTCCAACAAGGCTCCAAATGGCCTTTAGCTCAGCCCCCATTTTTGTAGGATGCATGGCATCTTTTTCCCCCAGCCCCCACCTTTTATTTCTCATGAGACAGAACATCTTTAATAAGAAAAATGAATCTATCATTGTGCATTTCCACTTCTGTTCTTATTCCTCTGCTGGCCTCTAGGGGCCATAAGCCACATTGCTTCATTTATATCCTTTATGTGCCAGGCAAAAAGCAATTAGCATTTATTTTCTCTAAAGAATCCTCCTAAACTCTTCACCAACACTTTTTTTCTTTTTCCACACAATCCCATGAGGCAAGTATTTCTATTAGCTCCCTGCTAAGAATGAGACAAAAAGACAAAGCATCAAGCAACTTGTACAAGCCAGGTCTCACCATGGCCAAACTGGGATCTGAACCAAGGCAGTCTTGTTCTAGAGTCTACACTCTTTCCTTCTCTTTCAGTAGGACAAAGTAATTCTGCTGGGTATCCATGTGAGTCCTGTTTACTTTATTAACTTGTAAAAATACATTTGCTTTTCAACTTTGGATTTTGCCTCTTGTATGGACTATAGCACTGTCTGCCTAACTAGTCTCCCTATTGCCGGTCTTTTTCTACCCAATCTGTTTTCCACACCATAACCAGAGTGATATGTTTTGTAAAAAATTTTTAATGAATGAATGAGCTAAAGAATGACTATCTAGCCACCTCTTCCTTATACAGAAAATAACATAACTGGTCTCATCAAAGGGGTAGATTAGTCAGCTAAGCAACTATCCTAACACCCTGAAACCGCAATCTAACATTGAGACTTCTGATGTGTGTTGGTAGCACTTAATATGCAGTGTTTTTCTCTGAGTAACATTAGCTTTTGTCATATTCTTCCTCACATTAATCCTGCAAAGAATAAAGCACAGCTTCATTTTATAGGAGAAAAATTCTACTGGATGAAACACTGCTGTGGCTAAAAGTTACCCAATAAACATGGTGGAACATTGGCATTGTTACTTCAAATAGAAGTATAATTGCTGAAATTGTAATAGTTTTCAAAACCTGTTTGAGATATACAGTAGAACCCTTTAATGCCAACTTTAAAAAGAAGCTTACTATATAAAACATAAAATCTGCTCAAGTCAAATAGGGGGCAATAAAAGAGTAGATATGTACTTGGCCCTCGGTAAAGATTTTGGAAGTATATTTGAAAAATCTCTAGGGCTCAGCTTCAAAAACATTACTGTAAAGCAGGTGTAAACCTGAAGTGAGAGCTCTAAGACCAGTGATGAAGGCAGAGAAGAGAAGCTGCCAATCCCAAACTCAATCAGTCTTTGTAGTAGTTTCTAACATTCCCCAGTTCCAGGAAAGCAAAAACTAAATAAAAAATAAAAACAAAACAAAAACAGCAACATGTGGCCTATCTAGTTTCTTGCGGCACATCAAAGAAACATAAAAATAAAAAAAAAAATGTTAACAGTGACACAAGTCATCTTTGATGGCTTCATCCAGAAAGAACTGGAGAAAAACTGTGCTTCCCTCTTGGACCTTCAGCTTTGCTGCTCTGGGTTCTTGACTTCATGTTGAACATCAAGATTTTTTTTTTTTTAACAGAGGTTTCAGCCCCCTAGCCTGGTGGATGGGATTGGGGAAAGGAACGGAAATGAGGAGACAGTTTAGCCAGTGTATTCTTGGGGGAAGGGGTTCTTTCCTGGTTATCAGAGCTATGCACCTGCAGAATCAAAAATACTATTCTTCTACTGAAGGGCATTTAGGTTGGTTCCACAGTTTAGCTATTGTGAATTGTGCTGCTATAAACATTGATGTGGCTGTGTCCCTGTAGTATGCTGTTTTTAAGTCCTTTGGGTATAGACCGAGGAGAGGGGTAGCTGGGTCAAATGGTGGTTCCATACCCAGTTTTCCAAGGAATCTCCATACTGCTTTCCAAATTGACTGCACCATTTTGCAGTCCCACCAACAATGTTTGAGTGTGCCTTTTTCCCCACATCCTTGCCAACACTTATTATTGTATGTCTTCATAACAGCTATCATTCTGACTGGAATGAGATGGTATCTTAGAAATGTGATTCATTCTGCTGTTATATATTTAAAAAATAAAAGCAATTAAAAAATACTATTCTTAAGCACCTCAGTGTTTATTGCTATTAGCAAAACCATTGTTCTCAATGGTGGGGTGAATCTAGATAATTGGGGCAGATTATTATTTTAGATGCAGATTTTCCTATGACTAAGTAAATTTTAGAGTGTTCATTTTTGTTGTCTTGAAAAACTTCAAGTTGATTCTGACCAAGCAGAAATAAAAGTTTACTGGAGAAATTGGAATTTATTGAATACTATTAACATTATTTCCTGTACTAATTTGCAAGTTTGTTATTAACCTAATTTGGAAAGCTGTGGTAGAATGACTGTGATCACACTGGTCCTAAGGACTGGACTATTTCCAGATCCATCTTCTCTGACAGACATGTGATTTATTCTTTGTCTGCACATTCACCCATCCTACCACTCTCCCCTCTTCACTTTATACTGTAAGTTTAAGAGCTTTAAATAGTTGGAAAACCCCTGTCTCTTAGACTGCTGCCATGGCTCATTCCTGACTGCTTTCAGCACTGGAAGAAAAAAGTGTTATCTTTGTGACAGGATAATTGCTGCCACCTCTGACAGCCCTTCTCCATTGTGACAGCTGCAAGGAACTAACCTGGAAGGGGAAAAATACACATGTTCTGGGATTAAAGGCATAGCAGGCATATGCTAAAAGTAATGACAGAGCTCAAGGCAAGGTCACTACCTTGTGAATGTAGTGACATGAGGTTTTTCTGAAGAAGTATTATGAAACCATTGTTTCAATGTTCAACTACATTTAGTAACCTGCAGCTCATCAGAGGAGAGTATGTTCTGGAAGCCAGCCATGAGAGTGGGCTGGAATAGAGTGGCAGGTTATCTCTAAAGATACTTCTGTTTTACATATACAATACTTCATTTCATATTTTTTAGGCCATAGGGTTCCAGAACACAGAGTGTGATTCAGAGCCAGTCCTTCATTAAGAGGTCACTTGGTCTTGTAAAGTTCAAGGGGAGGACCCAGTTGGTTAGTTCCATAGAGTGAAGCCTAGACTTGGTTATCAGCCTTGAAAGGTAGATCCTTCCATTAATGTCAGCTGACCAATGGAGTACATCATACCATTTCTAAATGTTGGAAATCCACTCCATGTTTAGTTAAAGTTTGACACAAGTTCCCATTTTGTGCATATTTGTTATTCTTGTAACAGACAAGAAAAACTTACCTCAGGACTGGAGTTGGAAAGCTCCTAACCATTTAAGAGTTAGTCTCAGACTTTTCAGCTCATCTATTTATGTCTACTGAGTTTTCCACTTGACCTACCCAACTGGAAGCTAAGGTAGAGAAATGTTATCAGCATTCAGCTCAAAAGGCCCACCTACAAGGAGATGAGCTCTAGCTGCACTGGACAGTTCAAATAATAAAGACTTCAAGTCTAGAAAAATGACATTAGTTAGACCTAGGAGTCCTTAGTCATACATTAATTAAAATATTTATTCAACATGTTCTGCATAATATATATCAGAAATGAATATGCATACTTTAAAATATTTAGAACAGTGGTGACTTTATAACATGGTTTAAAAAAGAAACAGCTTCTATCTTCTCATCTCTGACTTTCCTCTGAAAGAAGACATTTCATAGAAATTTAAAATAGATGCCCCTAGAGTATGGATACATAGAGGTAGCCAAGTACACCCCTATAAAAGACAGTCTTTCTCAGTTCCTCTTTATTAACTATTTAAAATGTTGACTAATTATTACTTTCTGGGATCTGCCTCTTGGCTGAATCTGGCTCAGTTTACCAATCTTAATGTACTAATTCATAAACAGAAGTAGTAATGACTACCTTGAAAAGTTGTGAAGATTAGAAATTGTTAGGTGTGCAAAGCAGAAACATGGTCAGGATATCAAATCTTCTTTGCCTTAGGCTGGATGCTTCAGAAGTAGAGTGTGAAGAAGAGATTCTGGTCAAGTGAATTATCCTGAAGAGGTAACACCCTTCATGAAAGACCTACAACAGACAGAGGGAGGCAAGATAGGAATGAGGAAGTTGCTGATCAAACAGGTGGTCTCAGGTTAAGTTTTGTCTTGACCTGATAAATGTGGAATTCTGGAGCAGAGATAGTACTGCAGAATTATCATGGTTTGAGGCAGACTTACTGGTTTTTTGTGCTCCATATGACTCAGCCATTAGCTACTGGGGAGTTTTGGGGGCAGGTGATAAGTGATGGTTGTGTTGGTGGTAGGATGATCTTCCAGGCATGTCTGGGTGAGGTAGCTTCTGTTAGCTGAGGCCCATTCTCATATATTTTTAACTTCTGCTCTGCACATGAAAACTTTTAACCCTTAAGATTATGTCCCTGAGGACTCTATATTGAACTTAGTACATCCTATTTTTGATCCAGTTAGAAATCATCTTCTAGCTCACTTTAGAGTATTATTCATGCATTAAACAGAAGCAGTAGGCTTCAAGATTCCAGCACAATACTTTCCATATAATAGGGACTCTATAGATACTAGCATTCATTTTTTTTTAATTTTCCTAAAACTGTCACTCATTTTAGTGAATTGTTGACCAAGTATCCTTTCATGTCTTGCCAGAACTGAATAAAATAGAAGAGAATGAAATCAAAGCACCTGGAACATAGAATATGTAAGCATTAGTTACATTTCTTTCTTCTCTTTTTGTCCCAGGATGATTCATGTGTTTTGAATTTTCTCATGGTGTAGAAGAATTTATTTTAGCCAGTCAATTATCATGGAGACTTCTATCAACAATATTTACTATAAATGTTAAGTTCCAAATAGTTTTTGATTCATATTCAATTTTGGTGAATATAGTTGGAGAAAATAGCCAAATACTTTAAAAAATTGATTTTCTCTCCAGTTGTTCTAAAGCACACATAAGAGGCACCATTACCCAGTTTAGTACTTATATACCTGTATCTTTTTCCTATATTTTTAGAAAGATCCTAAGGGTAAAAATTTTTATTGTGTCCTTTCACTATTTCTATGTGTCCTGCCTCAGTCCCCACTTCACTGTTAAGAGAAAAGAAATTGCTCAAATAATACTTGCAGTAGTGAATAAATTAAAACATTCATGAATCAATTGAAAAATAATGCTTTACAAGAGAAACCATGCAAGAAGTTGCTTCTAGAATTTGGGGTCAGGAAAATAGCAATAATTAGTAATATTTTAAATGCTCAGATTTTTAGTCCAGTTATTGTGTTTCTATGAATATATACTTAAAAATGGAACTAAGCCATATGCCCATCAAATAAAAACCAGTTAGATAAAAGGTCTTTAAACAAGAATGAGATAGACCTGTACATACTGATGATGGATATTATACACATTTATATGTGTGATATTTTATACAACCTTCTTAAGCCCATTTGAAATTTTCATATTTAGCTGTGAGGTTGAGGTAGTTGGTTTTCTTATAGATGGATGAGTCAACAATTGTAACACCATTTATTAAATAGACCAAATTTCTACCCACTGGATTGAAAACATTAATTTAATCATATGTCAATTAGAAAACGGAAACATTTTTCTGGATGCTACTAATTTGTCTCTTCATTTAGTAACATCATACTAATCTTTACAAAGTACTGTTGTAAATAGTTTAATAGTTATACAGAAAGTACCCTACATTACCTTGTGAAAACTTATCCTTTTAAAAAGTTTCTAGGCACTATCATACATTTATATTTACTTTAATTTAAAATTTTTTCTTTGGTTTTAAAAATAATAGAATAGAATTGATATTGTACTAAGCATTCATTAATTTGGGAAAGATCAACACTTATATAAAATGACTTTTTATTCAGTGTTCAGAGGGAGGGGAAAAGAAGGGAGAAAGTACTGGGAACTGAATTGGAATGTGTTGGGTTCTATGCTTTTGTGATTTTGTCAAGGTGTATCCTTGTGTTGTATCAAAACTCAAAAGAATAAAAAACAAAAACCTCAGTATAATCTTTTTATAGGTTTGAATCCTCTGCCTCTCTTGTGGGCAAATTGGCTATTTCTCCATTTTTTTTTCTTACTGCTAATATAAAGTACAGTTTTTCCTTTATTTATTTACCTTGTGTCATACCATTTAATAAACTGTTGTTTATTCTGATCATTTTAAAATGTTTCTTGAAAAAAACATGTTACGGTTTCTTTTTAATGCCAATTTAGATAACAAGACAATTACAGTAAATGACAAACTTTTACTATCAAGTTCAGGTTGGTTTCAGTCTTATTCTCTATCTTTATCATTCTAAAGCCAGGTTTCCAAACTCTAAGGGAAGAATGGAAAGCAATAAAAACACTTGTATGGCCAGGGCTCTTGTTCTCACTTGGTCCAGGGCAGGGAGTCCACCAAACTCCTAAACTGGAAATTCCACTGGTGAGAAGAGGAGAACACAGCAGCTGGTACATGAGAGCCAATAGCCCTGGGAGTCCTGTCTGTGTCCTCTCAGGTGCATGGGATGTGGGACAGCAAGGCTTGTTATATTTTTACAGGACTGATTTGAAAAGTCAGAACAGGCACCTAGAGGCCAGCCTTCCTTACCCCATGATCCTAGGCTTCAGTCACTATTAGGACTACAGTGCCCTGGCCATACATTCCACTGAAGTCTTCACAGGACAGTAGTCTGTAAATGGGTCTTGCAAAAGGAGAGATGCTAAATTTATGCAGTGAGGCTGGCTCAAAGATGTTGTGTCCTAATTTCAAAAGAAGGACCTTAATCTTATTTCTTAAGTATTTTATATAAGCTGAAAGGACAGAAGGAAAGTCATCCATGGTTTTTAGCCCAAGGAATGAGCTGGCATGTGGAGTTTTCTTTTACCTTCAGAACACTTTTCTTCCTCAGATTCTGTACTGAACCTTTTAGTGCTTTGTCCCATCAGCATGTTGTGCTTGCCACTTACCATTCTAACCATCCACTCATAGATTACCCCCTAACACACCCAACCACTGTACCACCTCCACCAACAAATTGTGTGGAGGTGAAGTTATTTTACAAATATTTCATCTTAAAAGAAATGCAAATGCCCCCACATACTTCTTTCTTTTTTAAGAAGAGAAAAACAATAAGATTTTGTGAAGCACTTATCACACACAATCCATTTCTAGACAAATTCCTAGTAATCTGGCCACAGTGTCTGTTCCCACTGCCTAGAATTCTGTGGTGTGTGTCTCTGTTGAGTGTACAAGTTTTAGTCACTAGTATGTTCTTTTCTATAAGCAAAATTCTGCCTTGACTGATAATAACTGTATTACACATTGTTTTAAGCATTTTGAGCTGATAGACAACTGATATTCCTCTCTTCTGCAACCTCAGCAGATGCTGATGAATGGAAATAACCTTCTTCACTGAAAGATCTATTATTTTTAAGCAGATTCTTTGATAACAATCTGTGGACATTCTGATGCCTATTGGCTTAGTGTATGGTGTTAAACCTTCACCGCAATAGGGGAAGATATTTTTCTTAATTACTATCAAGTAACTATATGAACTTGTTACTCTAATTTTTTTCTATTATAAAATTAATAGATCATCAAACCCTGACACTTTTTTGTTGTTGTTTAAATCAAGAAGGTAAAGGTAAATGGCAGTCTCATAACCCAAACATGCTTTCTACTGCATCATCTTGCATTTATATTGAGTGTTATCAATTAGAAAAATACTATGTTTAATAGCAAGACAATTGCCTCTCAATGCTATTTTATTTGCATTTTCATTATACTAACAAGAAGTATGGGTTTATATGCTTATGCAACAAATAATTATCATTATTCAAATTTTTCTTTTGTACTTTTAATTTGTTTGTATTTTCCATGTGGAACTTATAGTTAATATAGCTTCATAACACAATAAAGGTGTGTTTTTAATATTTACTGTGGGCACATCCACAGTTTGATCCTAGTCTTATGATTTTCAGAGTTTATGTAGTAAACTTTTAAAATCTTACTTAGTTTAATCTTACCGTTTTCTTTATGTCTTTTATCATTACCATTTCTTTTTTTTTTAAAGAGAGAGGGAGGGGGAGAGAGAGAGAGAGAGATTGCAAGAGAGAATTTTAATATTTATTTTTTAGTTATCGGCGGACACAACATCTTTGTATGTGGTGCTGAGGATCGAAGGGCCGCACGCACGCATGCCAGGCGAGCGTGCTACCGCTTGAGCCACATCCCCAGCCTGTATCACTACCATTTCTAAGCTTAGGAAATCCTTTTGCCAGTAGACATTTGATAATTTTCATTTTTCTTTTTTTTTTTTTGCTCGTTTCTGTTGTTTGACTTTCATGTTTGTTTCTTTAATTATCTAAAATATATTTTGGCATAAGAAATAAAATAAAGCTCTGAATTGACTTATTTCCCCAAATTGTTGACTATTTCCTCAGACAGCATATATTGGCTAAATTTTCAGTTTTATATTGATTAATGCATCTCCCTTATTGAAACTATAGTGCTACAAATAATAGGTTGTTTTCTGGGCTGTCCATTGTTTTTAGCTTACTAATACATTACTTTTTATTTCAAAAGCAAAATAATAAATATATGTGTATATATTTATGTGCATTTCATATGATTAACATAAATTACATATATAATGTTATGTCAATGATATAAGTTCAGTCTTAATCTTGGTACTAGTTTTCTTTATATTCTCTGTAATATCCTTTTTATGGTTTTAGAAAAAAATTATTGTGTACATATGTGTCACTGGAATTCAGGAATTTTGATATTATGTAAATTTATTTTAGAGTAACTTGTCTTTTGAATAGTTAAGACAATCTTTTATCTTTCAGGCTCAACTAATAGTCATGACATTGAGTATATTCTCAGGACAAATTAAAGTGTTTAGAAATGGTAAACTGTAAGCAGTTTGTTAATATAGAAAAAACAAACTGGTTAGCAGATGAATACTATGGGTGAGTTTCATAAGCAGGAATCTATTTTATCATTATTATTATTACCATTACAATTTCATAAGAATAAAATAGTCACATCATTT